CCATGGGGATTTACTACTTATTTGTTTATGAAAATTTACTACTTATTTTGTTTTTCTACTTCATTTATATTGCTGGGTTCTATCTTTAGATATAAAAAAGGTAAATATGAAGTGATGGCAAGTGTTAAGCTTGAGTCCGTTAGAGTAACAGGGAAACATTTTACTATACACTCTTTAAGAATAGCTGGGCCAGGGATCTAGCTCAGTGGTTCTGGTGCCTGCCTCACAAGCGCAAGGTCCCAAGATCAATCTCTGGTACCAAAAGAAAAAAAAAAAAAAACACAAAAAACTAAAACGAGAAGATAGAAAATTATCACATCCAAGAACATTAGCTCAATGATATTATATTTCAGACATTTTGGAAAATATAAAATCTGTAGTCAAGGAAGGGGTTACTGCAGTGGTCCAGTAACCACTGGTGACACAGGACACGATCTGCCATGAAAGCACTGGATGAGGAAAAAATTCCAAGGAAAAAAACCACAGAGGACCAAATGACAGTGTGAACAAAGATTTAACAGTCAAGTAATCGCACTGTTTCTGGACTGGAATAATGGTGACATAGGTCCATGTTTTTTATCACTTTATAATTACACAATCTAACAAGTTTTCTAGGGCTTTTACCAAATATTATTATCTGATGAAATTTTCATAGAAACTTTACAAATAATGAAAAAAATAGCCAAATTATTGCACCAGAACTACAAAATCACAGCAGTAATCATAAGTACTTTTGAACTGGAAGATATTAAAATGGCACACACACTACAGATTTTGAAATGTAAAATGCTTTTTTGAAGACGTACCCCTACTGCCTCTTTTTGTTCTGGGTCTAGGATAGAGACCATGGTTCAGATCTCTGTTTGTCCATCTTTGACCGAAGGGCTGGGTCACAGTCAAATGACTCCGAGCCAACTGTTGGCAGTCGATGGCTGTAAGATGCTTCCGCTTAAACCGTCTCACTGTTTTGTACCAATAGGCAGAAGAAATGGGATACTCATTAGTTATTATCAATTCTACAAGCTAGTTGGCAAGTTATACTCAATTTTTAGGAATATGATGACTGATAACTGTTTGTGTGGATTACCTGAACCACCCCTTTTCCTTTCCCTACATGCCCACCAACGTTCAGTCATTTCACAGCATCTGAACATTTCTTCCTTAGATTTAAGAAGAGCTAAGTGTGGTGGCACATAGCTGTAATCCCAGCTTTCGAGAGGCTGAGGCAGGAGGATCTTGAGTTTGAGGCCAGCCTAGGCTACACAGTGAGTTCAAGATCAGCCTAGACTACATAGGAAGTCTTTGTCTCAAGAAAACAATAAAAAATTTACAACAGAACTCTAAAATGACATTTTAAGAACCTAAAATGACTTTTTCTTTTTTTTACTCATACTCTCTAGAAGCCTTAATTGTGAAGAACTCATCAAAAAGAAGTTGCTACTAATGTATAACTGAGATTTTGGCATCTTTTTCTTGTTTTTGACTAAGCCACATATGTTCCTACAATAATCAGAAATATTTAAGAGTTGGCTATAGATTTGTTTAAACAATAAAAACGTATTTTTTGTCAAATGACTAAGGTTGTTTTTCTTAATTGTGATTTAAAAAAAAACCAACATACTGTACAAGGGTTGATGATAGCTTTTTAAAACCAGCTTCTCTAAGTCTCAGAAGCAAAATACAGTTAAAATAAAACAGGCTGTACATTCCTCAAGAGAAGGACCCTCATTGGGTATGGTGGCATACTCCTGAAATCCCAGCACTCAGGAGGCTGAGGCAGGAAGATCACTGCAAACTCGAGGCCAGCCTGGACTTCGAGGCCAGCCTGGACTTCATGGCCAGCCTGAACTACATGGTGAGATCCTGTGTCAAAAAAATAAATAAATAAAATAAAATAAAAGAGAGAAGGACCATTATGCACACAACTCTCAGCCCCAAGAACATCTCAGTACTGGGAACTTAAGAGGATAAGAGCAAGCCCACCCCAACCCTGAAAAAAATCAAATCCACTTTTCAGGACATTCAGAGGAAGAAATCTGCTATCCTCCTTTAGCAACAATTATAGCAGCAATTGCCCCTAGAATTCTGTTTCAAGAGTAGTACTGAAATAAAGAGGCTAGCAATATAATTCATTGGCAGACCATTTATCTAGCATGCATGAGACCCTCGGTTAGAAATAAATAAAATTTAAAATAAGACATGAAATTTTACCTCTTCTGTTCACAACCTTTCATATTAAGATAAACGACAAGTACTATTTTGCCTGAATGGGGACCTCTAATCAGACTGCAAAAGAGAGAAGATAAAGGTACAAGGGGCCTTCCAAGGCCCAGACAGATCTAGGTGTTTCACATACACTCAGCTCAACTACAGGAAAACCTTAGGCTTACAGCCAGCAAAACCAGTGACTCCATCAATCAAAGCGATCATATCTTCTGAGCTCTTTTCAACATTGCCAATTGCTTTCAAGCTCACAAGCACAATGTCTCTAATAAGGGAGATACTATGAGTTGAAGATGTAGCTCAGTGGTAGAGTGCTTGCCTACCATGCACAAAGCCCTGGGTTCAATCCCTAGCACCAAAACCAGTCAATAAGTAAAGAAGTGAATTAAAGAAGAGGAATTAGACACCATTAACAATAGAAATAGATATCAATAGATAGAGGCTAGCTCATGGAATTAGAAGGTGAACATCTATTGCCAAACTGGCCTAGACAAGAAGTTTTCATGGATAAAATAATCAAGTGGCACCAATATCACTCAAATTTATAGGATCCAACCAGAGACCTGTGTAGCTGAGTGGTGTAAGTTAGATAACACGTAAAGCTTCTGAAACTCAATGGAGAAACACGTAACCAATTACATTAGGCGTGGTTAAGAATTCTGATGTCCATCCAAATCTATATTCCTAAATCTGACTTTTGGAAATATGCAAAACTAAGGCTGACAGATTTGTGTAAGATTTCTATGTTCATATTTACAGAATGAACCCTGAAATTTTTTCTGTAAAGTATGTAAGAATGGCTTCATCCTAGGCTTTGTCAGCCAGCTAATTATAACAATAATGCTCTAATTTAAAATAGAAAACCTGCCAGGTGTGATGGCATACACCTGTAATCCCAGCACTTGGGAGGCTGAGGCAGGAGGATTGCTGTGAGTTTGAGGCCAGCCTGGGCTACATAGTGAGTTCAAGATCAGCCTGAACTACATAGCAAGACCCTGTCTCAAAAAACAAAACAATAATAATGATAATAATAATAATAAACCTAAAGTGCTGATATTGGCCATTAACTAGATAGATAAGTTTTAACCAAATGCTCAAGAGTAAAAACATGTAAGTATGCTCCAACATAAAGAATTAGTCTGCCTTTTTCACTACTGCATCTTCTGTACATAACACAGTGCCAGACATCTAGCACATGCCATGGCCTGAATGTGTTCCCTAAAATTCATATATTGAAATCTCAACATTCAAGCTGATTACATGAAGAGTTTGGATCTTAGAGAGGTGACTGGTTCATAAGGGAAGAGACCCCCATTAATGGGCTTAGCACCCCTTATGCCAGGTGAGGACACAGAAAAGACATCCATCTATCATCCAGGAAGTGAATCTTTATCAGACACCAAATCTCTGAGTGCTTTGATCCTGGACTTCTCAGCTTTCAGAATTGTGAGAAATAAATTTCTGTTGTTTATAAGTGACTCAGTTTCTGTAGCATTGTGAATAGACTAAGATAGTACATGTTCAATAACCACTGGGCAAAGTATGATGAGCAGGCCAAGGTTAAAGTGGTACGGGTGAGTGGTACAACAGCCTAAATCTAAATCACTAGGACTTGGCCAGGGCAGACACACAGGAAAACCTCCTTCAAGGTATAACACCAGACAGACAAGAGAACATCAAAAATGTTTAGGCCCTAAAAGAACTATTTCAGCAAAAGTAGGTAATACTGACAAAGGTATACTTTTATTTATGTATTTATTTCATAAAATACATCTGAATCTGAAGTGCTTGTTTGAAAAGATTAAATGTTTGCAGAATTCTAACAAAAGCACAGAAATAAAAGAGCTCATGGGTGTTTTGGAACACAGTGTTCTGTTTCCACAGAGTTCCAACAGATTCCAGTGTATTTTTGGCATATACCCATTATGGAAGGAGCTATGGTTAACAACTGGAGGAGGAGGGTACCCTGACTGGGAGATCTTACTAACATAAGATGATTGTATTACACACTGCAAATGGTGTTACCTGAACCATGACTTGCCTAGGGGATAGAGCTGGCATTTTCAACAGATTTACGTGTAAAAAAATAACTTTTCTGACTTTAGCAATGGTCAGAAAAACGAAACTGTATCTCAGATCTCTTTAGAGGTAAGTCTTGTGATGCATGAGTGGGAGCCAAGGACCTTGAGTCTAAATCTTCAGGTTAAACAAGTCATTTAATACCTCCTCAAAGCCCCTTAGAGGCTGAGTGGTATATCGAGAGACGCCTTCCCCTTAACAAGTGTATGTTATCACTAAAGATTATGAAAATGAGGAATAAAATAGCCTTCCACATTAAATTCACAGAATGAGATGACACATTATGTAAGTACTCATGACACCTACATTGAGGTTGACAACATCTACCTCTACACCTATGTCAAAACCTAGCAATGGACAGGTTAGGATATGACTACCACCTCAGCCTGAATGCCTCCTAAAAGACACATTTTTTTTTTAACAGTATTAGTGTTTTTGCTAAATTGTTTCCTTTAAAAAAAAAAAAGAAATTCTATTCTTTCTTGTACTTTTATTAATATGCCTTTTAAAAAAGCAGTTCAAATATAACTTTATCAAAATAAAAATGCTCAAAATGATACTTCTCCCATAAAACCTTCCTCCCTGAGTCACCTAAACCTAATGGTACTCCTCCATACTTACGTAGTGAGTGCACTTTACACATCTCTTAAAGGGCATTTATTGTTAGAAACCACTTGTGAGTTTGGAAGAAGTGAAGTTAAAGAGCGCTACATGATGAATGTGCACACATAAAGGGAAGCTATGCCTCATCCAGGTTCTTGTGGAAAGACATTAGAATTCCTTGTGAGGCTTTCCAAACTATATGAGGCCACCCAGAGATGTTCAAATCAGTCCTCTCCATACCAAAATGGGTATTTGTACCCTTCTTTGAGACTCTTTACCACAGTGACTAAGAGAAATGTGTCATATCCCTCTGGTCTAGGGCAGAAGAAAAAAAACTGAGAATATATAAAAATTATTTTGTCAAACAGCATTTTTCCTAGACTTAAATAAGCCCTTTCTTATACTTCTTTTTGTGGGATGGCTTTCTTAGAGTGACTTCCTCTGTCTCTTTCTCTGAGGTCCTTCTTTTGTAGGATCTCCATGTCTCTTTGCAAGCCTTCAGTTTTTTGGAGGACTACTAACCCCTTATGTCCTGCTCTTTGCTGAGTTCAAGATGGTCATGATCTGGGGTTTAGTCTTCTACCAGCTGTTAAATCTCTTCACTCTGATAATAGTTTATTCCATCTTAGCCCACTCTGACCCACATCATTCCCTAGAATGCACTACAGATCTAAAGGAGCATGATGAAGATAGTAACTGCCTAGAATTCTTGGAGGAGCTATTATTGTTAAATATTGCCTTTTAAAAAGAAAGAATCAAGTTAACTTTCTAGTACAAGGTACCTAAGTGAGGAAACAGCTCATAACACCACTCTGTACTTAACTTTGCTAATTAGATAATTTGCTGAACCACCTAATCTCACCTGGTTAGTTTCTTCACATGCTCATCTTTTCTCTGGCTTTGTGAAGATGAACAAGCAGACACCTGGCTGCTGGTCTCGTCTTTGGAGATAAGACAGGTGCACTGCAACACAGCCTATTATGCTTCTACCTGACAGGCCCATTTGTGGCCTGTGAAACCTGAGAGCACAACTCAAACAGTTAACTGTGTTATCCCTCAACTCTAGCATTGTAAAAAATATTTAATGGAGCCAGGAAGCACTTAGTGAAACCACTGCATACATCTCTGAGATACTGGTAACAATTCTTTTTCCAAGTATGGATTTAATATTTGTCTTATACAAATTATTATTTTTAATATATCTTCATTGTATTGTTCTTTTTTATCACTATTATAGTCACAACAATTACTAGTGTAAGGATATATTAATATACCTTCTATACTTAGGCTAAAACCTCTATGGTCTACTAGGAAGAAGGAACCTATTCATTTCCAAGATTCAACACATACTGCCTCATGAGCAGCTGCTGACAAAATGAGCAACTAATGCTGGGCATGGTGGCGCACGCCTGTAATCCCAGCACTTGGGAGGCTGAGGCAGGAGGATCGCCATGAGTTTGAGGCCAGCCTGGGTTCCATAGTGAGTTCAGGGCCAGTCTAAACTACAAAGCCAGAACCTGTCTCAAACAGTATCATTTTTTTTGTGTGTGTGAAACATGAGAACCAAAGAAATTTAATAACAAATAAGTATTCAGAAAATATTAATTATATGGAAAATGTCACTACACACTATACACTTGTTATGGCTTGTGTCTAGCCTCATGCAGACGTAGGTCAGAGGTGGCTAGATCTAGAATATATGATGCTGGAATTAAGTGTGTGATGCTAGGATCAAGGGTGTGTGATTACTAAATTAGTCCACTGATTGGGTTGGCATAGTTCTGGAGTGGATAATGGAAAGGCCCTCCCTGGGTGTGAGTGCTACCCACTCTAAGGGCATGTAGCCTGGATAGAATATAGTGGACAGAAAGAGAGCTGCTGTGGATGCTTGTCGCTTGCTGCTTGTCACCTGCTGCTCCCTGTTTGCCCTGCTTTGCCATGGACTGCTTCTCCTCTGTGATTTCCCTCTATCATGCCACCGTCCCTTGGAGCAACAAACTATGAACTGAAACCTCTACAAACTATGAGCTATAATAAACCCTTCCTCCTTTAACTTTGGGTGTCAAGTATTCTTGTCCCAGCAACAAGAAAAGTAACTAAGACTCAAAGTGGGGAAAACACCTGAATATTTTGTCCTCATTAGTTCTAAAACAAAACAAAACAGTGCAGAAAGAGAACTAACTCAGCTCTCTCTCTCTCCACTCTAGCATTCACTCTTGATGTCCCTACCAGCGACCACATCCTGCTTCTCTCTAAGCCCAACAGGTCCAAACTAGTAGGCTCAATCTTTCCCAAATCTAACACCATGAAATACCTACTTCCTTGCAAACGTTCATTAGAAAAAGCAAGGATGGGTTGGGCAATTCACTCTATATGCTCCTCATAAAGGAAAGGAATAATGAGAGAAAAGCAAAGAAAAGATCACTGCTGTCTAAAATATATCTTTATATATTTGAAAGGCTTCTTCTACTATTAATTCACTCCACAACCACTTTTATGTAATTACTATGTCCCAGATTTATTATAAACTCCGTGAGGGCTTTCTGTATGGTATTTTTGGTGCTAAGTGTTATTACAGACATTGAGGATACAAAAATGAATAAGCCTGACCATAAGGCAGCTACCAAAACAAACACAAATTACTAAACATAAAGCAATATAATTGCTACATAAACACATGCACAACGTGCTATGGTAGTAAAGAAAAATGAATAGAGTTGGGCTGGGTATTTAGCTCAGTGGTTCCGCTGCCTGCCTCGCAAGCACAAGGACCAGAGTTCAATCCCCAGTACCAAAAAAAAAAAAAAAAAAAAAAGAATAGAGTTAAAGTTGGAAAAGGTTTTATGAAGAGTTGAGCTTTAGGGCTGGGAATTTAGCTCAGTGGTGCCAAGTGCAAGGTCCCAAGTTCGATCCCGGTACCAAAAAAAACAAAACACAAAAAAAAACACAAAGAGTTGAGCTTTAAAAGATAAATAGGACTCAGGCAGAAGAAAAATACTGTATATGCAAAAACACATAAGTGGGTGGGTATGGTAGTGCATGGCTCTGATCCTAGCACTTAGGAGGCTGAGGCAGGAGGATCACAGTGAGTTCAAGGCCAGCCTGAGCTCCATTGTCAGTTCAAGGCTAGTCTGAACAATGCAGCAAGATCCTTTCTCAAAAAACAACAATAAATAAACAACAGAGAAACATAGTAAAACACTGGTGTGGTAGAGAAGGTGAGTTTCAACAGAACAGAGGTTCACAGATATGTTGGAAAACAAGGCTGGAAATGAATTTGGAGCCACAAACTGCAAAGGTCCTTTAACTAGTGCTACTGGCCTTTATCATGTAGGCAATTCAGAGTATTATGCAGTTTTTAAGCAAGATCATTACACAAATTTAGATAAACATGGAGACTGTCAGAAAAATAAGTGAAAAAGTCCTGGTATTAACCTAGGTGAAAGTTGGCAAAGACTTGAGAGCAGCAGAAACTTAGCAAAGAGAAGAGATGACTGTCAATGAGTTGGGTTGTTTGTTTCTGTTTTTAAAAAACAGCAAGGCTAAGTGACATTTCTAGTAGAATAGTAAGAATGATGATATCATCAACCATTAAAGAATAAAGAAGAAAGTGTTTTTGTTTTAATCATTTAGGGAAGTTGAGATGGGATCTTGCCATGTAGTCTACAGTTGGCCTTGAACTTACTATATTACCTGAGCTGGCCTCAAACTTAAGATCCTCCTGCTTTAGCTTCTTGAGTGCTGGAAATAGGCAGGCACTACCACACCTGGCTGATTTAATCATTTTTTCATGGAGGGAGAGGCTTAAAATCTCAGTTTTGAAAATAATTTGAGATGCTTTGGTTAGAGATAAATTTCTAGGAATCAGGAAACATCACAGCCAGAAAAGCAAAGACAGAATCTAAATTCAGTTTCCAAATAAAAACCAGCCTAGGAAGGATATGATTAGCAGAAAAAATGAAGATGGCAACATATCTGAAATTAGAATTTGAAATGGAATAGTCTGCTGTATTCACAAATCAGGAAATGTGTCAAATAATCAGTACCCCCAATCACCATAGCTAAATGTTACATACTCAGAAAATACAAAACAAGGAAAGCCAGCCAGGTATCAAACCACGGTGTCAAGGACAACTACATGTGAAGTAAACTAGTAAAGGCCGGACCACAAACTCCTAAATCCTCCACAAAAGAAATGGGCAGCCCAACTGGAAAAATAAGTGACACCCCAGAAATAGCTCCATGAATTAGCTTACTGCATAGCTCCCACTCCCTCCAGAACAGGCTTTTGCACTAGAAAAACCATACAGCCTGTGAGACAGATTCATATACTGTATCACTCACACTCTATTATCATTATCTCGTTATCTAAAAGAGGATATAAACCAAAGCAAGTTCATAAAGCAGAAAGGAGAAGCAGGATCTAGAACACCAATTAACCGTTTATCCTGGACTTCATGTATTCCTATTGCGCACCATGTCTCAGTTTTGTTAAAAAAAACAAAAACAAAAACAAAAACGGAAACTGGAAGCATATGGCAAGAAATAACGGGGACACTTGTAGTTAGAATGGGTCAGAGGGTCGGAGTGGAGCATCAGGTGCAGAAAATGTGAAGCTACTAAATGACTCAATTTTCGGTATGCACTGTCTACAACAGCAACAGTAAGAACACTGCTTGGCATGTTCTAAAATACGGTGCATTTCAAAGCACTTTTTATATCTTCTTTATTTTTGGAGTGGTAAAATACAATAAACAATAAACATCGAAAAACTTGATATTTGAACCTGGGTCCGTCCCCAATGACTACACCACTAAGTAACTTAACTAAGTAGAACCAGCTTATTAGTAAAACAGATTTATTATGATTCCATCCCAGAGTTTTTCATGAACTAACTTCATTAGATCTTAAGTTCTCTGCCTATGAAAGTAGAATGAAGCCTTCCTTATAGAATTGTTTGTGGATTAGATAATTAATGTCAAGTGCTTCATAAACTACAGAGTGCAATACGAAATGTAAAGGGTAATTGCTTCTAGCCCTGACAAATCGGAGACTCCCCTAACCTCTCAAAAGAACTAAAAACACCAAGAGGTTAAATGACTATTAGTTCCTCATAAAGTCGGGTAAAGAAACCAACACCTAACCTAATTAATCTCTTCCATCACCACAGCTTGCTCAGATCTCAACCAATCCCTCAAAAGCCCAATGCTTTCCCACATCACCTTAATCTTCTTGTATTCAGGTAAGGGGGGGGTAGGCAACCAATGAAAAGGGGACAACAGAGTAGCATAAAATGACTTGCCCAAGGTCAAAACATCAGAGTAGCAAAGCCTGGCTTGCCAGCAGCCGGAGACTTCTCTCCTGCCTCTTTTTGCCAGCCCCCGAGAAACCGCGAATTGCCGGACCCGGTCCTGGGCCTCAGGGAGGAGCGTGGGGACTCAAGCTCGGCTGGAGTTCACGGGCGCCCCGGCCTCCTCAGTGCATACCCCGCCGCAGCCGAGCCCCACACCCACCACGGGCCCGGGCCGCACCCCCGAGGCTGTGACCCCAGCAAGGGGCCTAGAACGTAAGTTTCCCACCCGGCGTAGACCCGCCCGCACTCCCTGCCGTGCCTAAGGTCTCACGCACTATGGTGCTCCGAACTCAGGCTCCTGTCGCCGACACGGCCGCCAGACCCGCACCGCTAGCCGTCCAGTCCAGCCGCCCCGGCTGCAAGCTCCTCCTTCGGCCCCAGACAGCAAGCAGGGACCTCGACCGACTTCCTCTGCGAGCTCCGCCCCGCCACAACCCAGGGAAGCACCCTCCGCTGGCGCTGACGGACGGCCTCCGAATCCAATAGAGACGCGCAACAGGAAAGGAAGTACTGACTGACGGCCCCTGAGGCCAATCGGAATGCGCGACTGCAGGGGGCGCGGCCACTGCTAACGAGCCACGCCCCGTCCGCGCTTCCGCTCGCGCGGAAGAGACGCGGAGAACTTTCCCAGAGTTCCTTAGAGCCGACCTGGTCTTCGAGGAGGGCTGAGATAGCGGCGGCGGGGAGGGATGGGAACGACAGCCTTTTGGTGAGGACAGAGTTGGCGGACGGGAACACTGCTCCATCCCCAAGAGGCCTGGACAGTGTTGACCCCGAGTAGTGGGAGGCCCTGGAGCACTGCAGCCCTGCGCCCTCTGTAGGCAGACTGCAGGGGAAGGGACGCGTAGGCTCGGCGTTGGGGAGTCGACCGCGCTCCGGCTCAACAGCCTCTGGAGCTTCCCCCACCCCAGCGGATCCCTCCTTCCCACTTCGGGGCTTTACGATAGCGGTGCACTCCCTCTCCCTGACGTTTTCGGCCCAAGTCACTCCTGTCTGGGGAGCGGCTCCAGGACATCAGATACACCCACGTACCCTGATCTGCGTGGGCTCCGCGCATTTGGAGCACTGTAGCAGGAGCGGGCCCCATCCCCTGGAAGAACCACCACCCCACACTAGAGACTGGGGTTTCTCCCACCTTGGGGCGAAGGGCGTGCGTGTCGGGGGGGGGGGCAGACCGCAAAAGGGGGATCTAATAGGACTGAGGGCGGAGCATCTGGGAGGAGGGTCACGAGCAGGAAGTGGAAGTCCTGGCCACCGGCCTGTTTAGCCCACCCTACTGGGGCGCCAGCCCCCGCCCCTGCAGCTGACAAGTGGGACTCGGGGTCCCTCCCATTCGTACCGGGCCTGGCCCTCGGTGAAGAGTACAACGGGGGACCCAAGGCGCCTCTGCAGGCTGGTGCAACAGGGCCGGCTTCGCGCCCTGCAGGAGGAGCTGCAGGCCACCGGAGGCAGCCAGGCCCTGGCAGGAGACACCCTCCTCCATTGTGCCGCCCGCCACGGGCGCCTGGACATACTAGCCTATCTGGTCGAAGCCTGGGGCATGGACATCGAGGCCGCCAACCGAGACTACAAGAGGCCTCTGCACGAGGCTGCCTCCATGGGACACCGGGACTGCGTGGGCTACCTGCTGGACCGAGGGGTGGCGGTGGACTGCCTGAAGAAGTCCGATTGGTAGGTGGATCCTGAACGACAACCCACCTCCTCACTTCCCACAGAATCAGATTTTCATGTACTATGTCGGCCATTCCCCATTTGCACCATAACTTTTCTCAGTCCGTAGTTCTCTGTCCAGGCCTGCTCGACAGCAGGATCGTCCTTCTCCATCCTTCCTACCGTTTTGGGGTTAACTCTTTGGTAGAGGCAATCACTTGCCTTTGTGAGACAAAAGAAAATATAATCAAACAGAATATAATCAGTAAATTGTACTCAAGGATGTGATGTTCTTCTGGGGTCGTCTAGCTAAGTGTCTACTTCATCAGTTGCGTTTTTTGTTTTTGTGGGGGTCTTTTTTTGGTGTTTTTTTTTTGGTACCAGAGATCGAACTCGGGACCTTGCGCTTGTGAGGCAGGCAGCAGAACCACTGAGCTAAATCCCTGGCCCTAGTTGTGTTTTTTAAATTGAGAGTACTACAATCTACATACTTAGATTTTTAGCAGTTATACTTGTACTGTGTGTAGAGCACTATGTGCTGTTATCACATGTGTAGTCTTGCATAACCACTATAATCAAGATGTTTTGTGATCACACACATCAATCCCATTTTGTTTATTAGATTGACATCATTTTTATTACTATGTCTGGTTGCTCAGAGGTTGTGAACCTTTTAAGGCTTATAATAATGAAGTGTCTGCCTTCAAGTGATTCCTGATCTGCTGTGAATAAGAAACAGGAGAGTGGTGTGTGTAGCTCAGTGGTACACTGAGCCTAGCATACACAAGGTCCTGGATTCCATGCCCAGCTCTGTAAGGGGGAGCAGGGGACACACAAGAGAGACTCATATAGTTAAATAAAATACATCTTCCTCACATGGTAGAAAAATAGACTTGAGGGTTGTCGATCATTTTTATTAGCTCTGTCCCAATTCACTCCTAACGAGGGTCATAGGCAGTTTTGCCTCCCAGGAACTGTCTGCTGAAGGTGCACTATCATTTTCCCTTTGTTTTTCCTGCCAAGATTCTCATATCAAGCAAGGAAGTTGCTAGAGGTGTTTTCCTGCCTGCTAGACACCCATTCTCTAGGTTTTCCATCTTGTGTCAAGGATGTGCATTTCCTGGAGGCCTGGCCCCTCCCTTCTAATATCAGCTGTCTTGTATCTGACAGCTTGTCCTGGTTGGCTTTAGGACTCCTCTGATGATGGCTTGCACAAGAAAGAATCTCGAGGTGATCCAGGACCTTGTGGAACATGGTGCCAATCCACTTCTGAAGAACAAAGATGGCTGGAACAGTTTCCACATTGCCAGTCGAGAAGGCAACCCTCTGATCCTCCAATACTTGCTCACTGTTTGCCCAGATGCTTGGAAGACAGAGAGCAAAATTAGAAGAACTCCGCTGCACACTGCAGGTACAGCCTGCAGCTCTGTAAATATGCAGGCATATGTGTGCAGCCTGCTTCACCCAGCACTGTTGAGTATCATCTTGTTCAAGTCACGTGGAGAAATAAAGGAATTGGGGAAATAGAGGACAGGGAATAAGAACATCTTGGGATCTTTTGGCAGACCATTAGTTTCTAAAGCTACTGTAATTTGACTAGCATGTCCTTCTTATATTAGTTCACTTTTCATGTCTTATCTGTCTTACCCTCCCTAGTAAGGTAGTAAGCTCTTTCTGTTACTTACAAAGTCTTGGACCTTGAACAAAAAACTTGGCCGAGGTCTGGGGATTTAGCTCAGTGGTTCTGCAGCTTGTCTTGCAAGCGGGAAGTCCCAAGTTCGATCCCCGGTACCAAAAAAAAAAAATCTTGGCCTCTTTCTTCCTTGAACAAGTTTCTTTATCAGCAAAATAATGTTGTAATGATACCCATGTCACAGTGTCCTTGGATTTAAGGAGCATGGTTATAGAAGGCTGCACAGTAGGAGGCGGGAGGAGGGGTGAGCCAGCAAAGCTTTATCTGTATTTACAGTCGCTCCCCAGCTCATATTACCACAATTGATTGCATTACCACTGGAATTCAGATCAGCAGCATTAGATTCTCATAGAAGCATGAACCCTACAGCAAACTGTACATGTGATGAATCTAGGTTGTACATTCCTTGAAATCATCCCGAAACCATTCCTCCCACTCCTATCCCTATCAGTAGAAAAACTGTCTTCCATTAAACCAGTCCCTAGTGCCAAGAAGGTTGCAGACCACTCCTTTACACATAGTGAGCACAGAATAACCTGTTGCTTCTATTATATCATTTTCGTTGTTACTAAAAGCCAGAGGGGGAAAAAAGTATTTCTTCATATCCTTTGTAACATCACAGTGGTCTACATTTAATGTTCATTATTAAATGCCTGGGCCCAGGTATGTTTCTCTTTTAGTGATAATGTCAAATACAAATTTGGGGTTTGGTTTTCATTGTGTAGTGATCTTTAATTCTGAATTAACTATATTTAGATTATTTTAAAAGGAGAAAGAGTCATACGATCTGAAGAGAAATCAAAGTATAGATTATTTTAAATTTAGGGAAAAGCAAAATTGCTGTGATATAAGTGGGTATTAATGGGCTCAGGAGTCCAGAACAAGAAATATTTTAAGGTAATCTTTAGTCTTCTAGGTAATGCATTGAATTAGGACACAGAGCTTTTAGTTTCTCTAAAAATCAATGCCTCTGTCATCATATAGTCTAGGAAACATGCATCCAATTATTCTCTAGTCATAGTTGGCACTTATGGATGAAAGAATCTTTTCTAAAACTTTGTAAGTAATAGAAAAACATTTCTGTAGCTCGTAAATTATTTGCCTAGCCTCTTAAGTACATACACATTCCCCTGGGAAAACAGTTAGCACCTTGCTATTCACCCAAAATAGGGGAGGACAGATAGTCAAAATTTTTATTATTGAGTATAGCTTTTTTTGTTTTGAGACAGGGTCTCACTATGTAGCCCAGGCTGGCCTTGAACTCAGTGATCCTCCTGCCTCAGCCTCCTGAGCGCTGGGATTATAGGTATGCACCTCCATGCCTGGCTAAGTATAGTTATTTTTAGTAAGAAAACTAAATTCCTGGTTTTGTCATGGATTGCTTTTGAAATATTTTCCCATTTCCTAGAAAAAACTGGCCTTGGGGATTTGCAGCGTAAAAATGGAGAGATAAGTTTAAGATCGAAAGTTTGAAGCAGCCGCGGTGGTGCATACCTGTAATCCCAGCACTTGGGAGGCTGAGACAGGAAGAGCACCATGAATCCAAGATCAGTGTGGACTACATAATAAGTTCAAGGCAAGCCCGAACTGCATAATGAGACCCTGTCGCAAAAAAGAAAAAAAAGTACTCATAAGGTTAAAATAAGTGTTTGGCTGTGCACATGTAAAGTAAAAATATTGTTCTTTAGGACTTACCCAGTTAAATTTTATTTTATTTTTATTTGTTTGTTTTTTGGTACCAGGGATCGAACTCAGGACATTGCACTTTCAAGGCAGGCAGCAGAACCACTGAGCTAAATCCCCGGCCCTAAATTTTATTTTTTTCAGAAGTAACAGCATACCAACTTCAGTTACTCCTTCCTGTAAGTCATAACTAAAAAATGGGGCAGAGAGGAGTGCCAGGAAAAAACGAATTTTTTTTCACAGGGCCTTGTGCATGTACCCATCGAGCTACATCCCCAACCATGAAGCATTTTATGTATGCATTAATTTTCCAACTCTGTTCTTCTAGCAATGCATGGCTGTTTAGAAGCAGTAAAGGTGCTTCTTACAAGGTAAGAACAGAACTGTAAATTGGGGGAAGTAATGTGTTAATTATAACAAGGAGTTAATATGTGTTATATAAAGGACTTGAACATTCAGAAAACCGTAACTTCCAAAAGAAAAGCAAAGAATATAAGCAGACAACTCAAAGAATATAAAGCTGAAATAGTTAAGAAACAAGACAAAATTTTAGTGACAAAGTTGTCTGTTCCTGTATTCAACAAACATGTATATTCATTCAGTACCTAATATAAACTACCCTCTGGAAGCTAGGGATGTAGCTCAGTGCTAGAGCATTTGCGTAACATGTATAAGGCCCTGGTTTTAAACCCCAGCACAGTCAGTCAAGCAACTAAGCAAGAAGATTTTAAAGGATGATTTTCAGGGTGGTACTGCTGGTGGCACTTGCAGGGAATTGAATACGGCAAAACAAGCAGCTCTGGGGGAAAGGTGATAATTGGCCTTTTGGGACCTGTGCCTGTCAGATATCTTAGTAAGCCAGTTAGATACACAGGTGGTCAAAAACACAAATTTGAGGCTTGTAAACGTAGAGCTGACAATTGAGATTAGAAATGTATGAGAATGCTGTACATGGTGGTGCATGCCTGTAATCCCAGCACTTGGGAGGCTGAGATAAAAGGATCACTGTGAGTTTGAGGCCAGCCTAGGCTACATAGTGAATTCAAGGCCAACCTGAATTATATAGTGAGACCCTGTCTCAAAAAACAAAAAAATAGAAATGTATGATCTGAGGAAATAATGTATTATTAGAAAAGGGCACTTAACACTTGAGTCCTGAAAATACTGCTATATGGAGGGCTTGTCTGCTGCAAATGGGAGCATACTTGGTTGTCTTCAAATTTATAAATATTTTTTCCTTATTTAAGGAACAACTTTTTTTAATGCCTTCACATGTCAGGATCTGGGTAATAAAATACACATAGTTCTTCCTCTAGTGGAGCCTGTAACCTAGTGTCTTAGTTACTTTTCTCATTGCTGAGACAAAATACAGTGGTACCTCAGTTCACCAACTTAATTCTTTTCATGAAAAAAAATTAATGAATTCTGCAACCAGAATAGCGCAAAGAATTAAGTTCATGAACCAAAGTACCACTTACCTGACATGCAAAGTTAAAGGAGGAAAGACAGGTGTCCTATCAATCAGTCTTCTTGTTTGCATGAGACACACTCATATGTCTTTATTTGTTTTATATTGACTATTTTTGCATACTTTTTTATTTAGAAGGTTATATTGGCCTTTGATGTTTGTTTCTAGTGAAACTTTTTCTTTTTCTAGTGAAATCTTATAATAAATTTTGGTTGTTTTCTTTTACTAATTCATGTTTATTTTGTGAAAAATAACCTATAATTTTGTGCTACAATCTATAAAAACTTATTGTAAGTACATTAGATACAATTTTTATACTTCTCCAGCACTCTTTTACAATGCAAAATAGACATGTCTGGATCAGTGAGACTGAATAGCAAGGAAGTGCCCAAACATCTGCAAAAGAAAAAACTGGGAAAGGGGAGAGATGTTAGCATATTAGAGAGGAAAAGTCTGTGTTATGAAATGAAAAGACAAAAAAGACATCTCCTTATTGTCAACTACTCATAATACAGAAATGATAGAACTTGAAACAAGAAATAAAAGTGAAAAAATTCCAATAGTGGTCAATAATTACAATAATTCTATGGGTGGTGTTGACAGAGTTGACCAACATCTAACAAGCTATCCCATAATCAAAAAGCAAGGAAGAAAAGCATTATAAAATATTTATGCACCTTCTAGACCAATACGGAACTTGTTTGTTGTTTATTCAAAACAAGGGGGTTCAAAAAGTCATTTACAATTTAAATTAGGTCTAATAGACCAAATAATTGAAAAATACAGGATAGCAAAACGACGTCCATCATTAATGTCTTCATCATTACATTTAGTGGGTAGACATTTTATTAGAATTATACCACCCACAGAAATAAAAGGAAAAGCCAACACGACAATGTAGTATGTTGTTCAAAGACAGACAATAATGCAAAAAGAATCAGGAAAGAGATTAGGTACTACTGTTATTATTAACATTTTGTTGTGTATTGAATGTTTTAAGATACACCATATGCAGAAAAATTATTGAATAAACTTGATAAAATTGTTTTTATACTTTCTGTATTTTTTTAAGCAAAGCATTTATTGATACATTTTAGATATACATAATGATAACATTCATCATAGGGAATTTGTACCAGTACATGATATATCTTGCTTTTTTCCTCCCCCATTACCCCCCATTATGTACAAAAGGTTTGTTTCCATTTTTTTCTTTTTCTCTTTCTTTTCTTGTCGCTTCTTTCCCTTCCCCCTCCCTTGTTCCCTTTCTCATTTGAACATTTTCTTCCCATTTCCCAATGTCTGTTGTACATTTTAGTCCTTATCTCCACCTTCAGTTTTTCACACAAGAGAAACAATGTGGTATTTAAACATCTATTATATTATAAAAATTAACAAAAAATATGAAAATTTTTGTGTTTTTTGTCATCCTGCATTTAAATAATTGGACTGGTGGTTAAATGTTTTGAGCAGGAGTGGATTTATCCATTGATATTGGAAAGAGGATTGGTTGCTATTGAAGATGATGGAGCTAGGCAGGAGTCAAGATGAACATTAGAAAGCTGTTTCTACTGGATAAAGAACATGTGGTTTTTTTTATAAAATGGAGTACTACTCAGCAATAAAGAACGAGAAACTAGAGACATTTATAGTTAAATGGAAGCATATTGAGCCATACTCTTAAGTGAAATAAATAGGACACACATGTGTAAATACCAAATAGTTTCTCTAGTGTGAGAAACTGAAAGTGTAAATAAGGATTAAAATGATTAAAACGAAAAATTGATAATTTTAAATAGGAAAAGTTCCAAAGGTGTAGGGGTGGTGAGAGGGGAAGGGGAAAGGAAAAATTATGAGAAAAGAAAAAAAATGGAAACAAAATCTATGTAAATAGGGAAGGGTGGAGGGGGTGAAGGGCACACAGGTAATGGGGAAAAAAAGAAGACCCAAGATACTTCATGTACAGGTACAAGCACCCAGTGATAAATGTAAACATATTGTATACCCAAACTGTACCAATAAAACAATTTAAGGAAAAAAAAAAGCTGTTTCTAGTTAACTTGGTCTTAAAGGGTGAAAGCAGAGACATAGGGAAGGATATCGATGTTTTGCATAGTTTGCAGAATTGAGAGATTTGGGTTATGAACGATAAGGGAAAAACAGTAATGAGTACCTCTTAGCTTCCGGTTTGAGAAACTGGAAAGGCGAAAGTGCCATCCAATGGGATAGAGGAGGTGAGAGGAAGAAGTCCTAAAGACTGAAAGCTCAGTGTAGATACTGAGATGGGGAACCAAAGGAGAGAGCTCCAGATTCGCAGATCATCTCTGAAAGGCTTATAGTCTATCTGAGACGATCAAATATCAACAGTCCTTTGAGTTTGAGGTGGTGAATGTTCACATCCAGTTATTTTTGGTTTGGGCTCTAGGTGCCAATATGAACCAGACTGCAAAGACAGCTGTGGTGTTACCCCCTTTATGGATGCAATTCAGTGTGGTCACATTGATGTAGCAAGGCTGCTCCTCACAAAACATAAGGTATTAAAATAGTTTTACTACTTTGGTTCTTCCTATAAATTTTAGATCACAGGATAAGCGAACACATCATTATTCAAATCCCAGCTCTGCCAAGTTCCCCCAGGGATCTCTTTAACTGTCAATGTATATCAATGATCCTATATGTAAAATAAGACAAATTTCATTTCTTCAGAAGGTTCCTACAAGGATTAAATAGTATAATGTACATACAGTGGCTAGCAAATTATTCAGTAAATAGCAATGCTTTTAATAATAACAGACTGGTCTTGGTAGCACTTTTGGCATTATAGTCTGGCACATTGACTCTTAATTATATTTTTGGCTACAATCTTTTGAGAATCAGACAAAAGCCCTGCATCCTTTACCCAGAGAGATGTGTATAGACAACTAAGTTGCCAAAATATCAGCAGGTATATGGACCCAGGCTTTGTACCTTCTTTATTCCTCTCTTGTCTACTAGGCATGCTCTTCAGCTGAGGATAGCCTGGGAGCCCAGGCTCTGCACAGGGCAGCAGTCACTGGGCAAAATGAAGCCATCCAATTCTTGGTGTCTGATCTTGGCATCGATGTAGATGTGAGAGCAGCAACAACCGGTCTCACAGCGCTTCATTATGCAGCTAAGGTTTGTCTGTTGTTCTGATGGTGTTCCTACTTACTTAGGCTTGCTTTGCACCATTGATAGCTCTGCAGTCCTGGTTCCTTTAGCTCCATCTTTATAGAAAAAATTACCCATACTCCTGAAAAGGTCACAATTCTAAGAAGTCCTTTATCCCCTTCAGTAGAAACCTGACCTTATTTCTATACAAAAACTGAAAAAATCTTTTATTCTTTGGAGTCCTTGGCCCTTATGCCCCTTCCTAACATTTTTGTTTTCAGGAATAACATTACTTAAAGCCATAAAGATCATTGTATGAAATTCCTAGCTCTTTATCCTTACACTGGATTTCAGAAGTTAAAAATGTCTTGAACTGGAGCAAGAGAATTGCATTTACTGGTCTTGTCAATGTGTAAAGCATTGAAGATGTTCAAAATTTTTTCACTAGAAAAGGAGCCTTTTTAAGTTCTGAGAGTCTTGCATGTGTCTCTACATTATATAGTGGCCACATGCCTTTACTTATTTTTCTAGAAGCAGGAATAAATTTTTCTCTGATGAACTACACTCTCCTGTCTAATTTCCCCATTATGAGCAAATGGAGAGATATGTAAGGATGGAGTGAAAATCTTGTCCATGGCTACAGGGGGAGAAAAACTAGTGGCAAAATTGAGCCTTGATTTTGTTCTCACTATGAACTAACACACCAACTGGCTAGATAAAGAGAATATAAATTACTTTATGTATAATGCTGCCTGTGATAAGGTTACAGTCTTCAATTTATCTCTTCCCTAAAGATTTTATTAAAAAATATATCTGCTTGGGAAGTTTTGGCATTGTGAGTTCTATAAAAACCACAAGATTTATACTGCTTATTCTGATGGAAAGCCAACTGTATTAGGTCAGTAATGTGGTCTACAAAATTGATAATCTGTATCTTGATAATTAAATGTTGCCCTTTGATGGACAGGGACCAGGTCTTTCCTTGGTAGGCCCAGTATCCAGTGAAGTAAGCAATAAATTGTTGAATGATTAAGTGCATAATAAAATGCATTTAAATAAATGAAGGCAAGTTTTAAGTTCCCTTGTTTATTGGAAGCTCTTTCCCAATTAGTCATTAAAATGTAATTTAATGGCTGAGGGTAGAACTCGTTAGTAGAACACTTGCCTAGCACAAGCAAGGCCTCCCTCAAACCTGGAACAGTTGCTGGACAGTGACCTGCACTTGACGTGGACCGTGAGGGTGAAACTGACCTATGAGATAGCAGTGGGCCTCAGCTACCTTCATTTCAAAGGTAATTTCCACTGGGACCTCACATCAAAGGTATGAAGGGTTTACTTTCTCAACCCTTGAGAGACACTGTCCTCTTTTACCAAGAAAGCTATGTTAAGAAACCAATCAGCCAGGTGTGGTAGCACATGCCTGTAATCCTAACACTCTGGAAGGCTGAGGCAGGAGGCTTATAAATTCAGAGAACTGCCAGTTTGATCCTGGCCTGGGCAATTTAGTGACAGCAAGACACTATATCAAAATAAAAATGAAATTGGGGCCCAGGGATTTAGCTCAGTGGTTCCGCCACCTGCCTTGAAAGTGCAGGGTCCCGAGTTCAATCCCCAGTACCAAATAAATAAATAATAAAATTAAAAAGCACTGGGGATGTATCTCAGTATGAAGGACCTAGGTTCAATTCTTAGTACAACCAAACAAATACACACACACACACAAACACAGAGAGAGATAAAAAAGAGAAGTATGCCTTTAGAGGAATTTTTTTTTCTGGTACCCGGGATTGAACTCAAAACCTTGAGCTTTTGGGCCAGCGATTTAGCTCAGTGGTTCCACCACCTGCCCCGCAAGCACATGGTCCCAAGTTTGATCCCCGGCACCAAAAAAAAAAAAAAGGAGGAAAACCTTGAGCTTTCAAGGCAGGCACAGTGCCACTGAGCTAAATCCCCGGCCCACTAGAAGGATTTTTTGATAAAATGCCATGCAAAAACAAATACTTAATAATGTCTATAATGTAGCAGATACCTTGGTAGGTATAAGATATAAAGAGATATCCAAAACAGTGTGTCTAGCTATTCTGAGATACAAAGTTCTGAGGGATACTTCTACTACTACCCTATCAGCAGATTCCTCAAAATGGTCAGAATTGCATAGACTTAGAAAATATATGTGAGATCTCCTTTTGGAAGCTATAGAAAAATATTTATCAGCAACTTTAGCTTTAGCCAGAAGGCAGCCATAGAGATAACTTCCCCTCTTTACTCCCACTTACCACACGTGGATACAGCCACAAACAGACCCATTCATAGCCTTAAGAACGTGTTTATTTAGTACACCTGAAGTAATACAAGTGTTTTTCTATGCATTTAAGCACTACAAACATCAATAAAGACCCTTTATGTAAAAGAAAAAAAATATTTATTTAATGAATTATACCAGAATTGAGAATGATATAATTAAGCTTTCTTTAAGATAAGAAAATTCAGTTTTAGGAGTTGACTGGTTTAGAAAAAGTAGTATGTACTAGAGTTTGCATTTAAAGACTTGCTTTTGTCCTCATCACAGTGATAATGAATTTATTTCAACACTCAGGAAGGGCACACAGGTACGGTTCAAGCTCTCTTATCCTTGGGTGCTGACATCAGTGCTAAAGATGAAAGAAATCGATCAGGTATTGACTGTAAATAATATATGTTCTTTTATATTGAAAACATTTGTTTAGGGCTAGGGTATAGCTCAGTGGTATAGTGCCTGCCTAACATGTACAAGGCAATGGGGTATAATCCTCACCACCACAAACAAAACAAAACATAAACATAATTTTAATATTATTTTTCCAGTAGTGCAGCATCTTTTGCTTAAAGTAAGTTTTCCTCTGTCTGCAAAACTATAGAACTATTCTTACTGTCATGAAAATGATGATGGCTACAGCTTGTTACTTACCACCCTAGTTATTGCTGTTATTTTTAAACCACAGCAATATACAATGTATGTGGCAATTTTGGTCTAATCCATGAAGATACTCAAGATATTGTATAGATTTAGGGCTCGGAAATATATTCTTAGAGAGGTTTTTTTTTTTGGTTTGTTTTTAGGGTTTTGTTTTGTTTTGATATTTGGAGTTTTGGAGGGGGCCGGTTTATATTTCTATTTTCTATGCTTGGGATCAAACCAAGGGCCTTGTGCATGCTGGATATATGCTCTACCACTGAGCTACACTCTCAACCCTGCTCAGAGCTAATTCATTAGACTTGGATTTTTTTTAACTTTATTCTTTTTATTAGTGCGTATTTGTGATACAAATTAATCGCATTCATCATAGAGAATTTGTACCTGTACATAACACATCTCAATTCTTTTTTTCCCATTCTCCTTTCAATCCTTTCCCTCCCATTTACACAAGCTTTGTTTCCATTTTTTTTGCTTCTCTTCTTTTTTTTTTCTTTTTCCCTTCCTTCCTTCCCCCCTCCCCTCCTTTGTTCCCCTTCCCATTTGAACATTTTCTTCCCACTTCCCAATATCTATCCTCCATTATGCTCCTCATTTACCCTTTGGGTTGCTCACACAAGAGAAACAATGCAATATTTAAACTTGTGTGTCTGATTTATTTCACTTAAGATTACGGTCTCGAAATGCATCCATTTTCCTAATTTCAAGTTTATCCTTTATGGCAGAGTACTACTCCATTGTATATAAATATCTCATTTTCTTTATCCATTCATCTGTTGATGGGCATGTGGGCTGTTTTCAAGATTTAGGTATTACAAATTCTGTAGCTATAAAAATGGATATGCTTAGAGGGGGAATAGCTGAATGAAATGAAAACCTCTGGTTCCAGTTTTTTTGAGGAATCCTCATACTGACCTCTACAGTGGTTGTACCAGTTTACACTCCCATCAGCAATGGAGTAGGGTTCCTTTTTCCCCAAAGCCTCACCAGCATTTGTTATTGCTTGATTTCTTGATGATAGCCATTCTTTTTGGAGTGAGGTGGAATCTCAGGGTTTTAATTTGCACTTCTTGAATGACCAGTGATGTTGAACATTTTTTCATATATTTATTTGCCATTTTTTCTTCTTCATTTGAGGAATGTCTGTTCACTTCAGATGCCCATTTTTGGATTGGGTCTTTAAATCTGGAGGGGTCTGATTTTTTTGAGTTCTTCATATATTTTAGATGTTAGTCCTTTGAGGAGTAACTGGTAAAAAATTTTTTCCCATTATGTGGGTTGTCTCTTCACTCTCTTGGTGGTTTCTTTTGCTGTGCAGAAGCTTTTTAACTGATGTGACTATAGTTGTTGCTTCTTTGTAATATTTCCTGAGATCAGGGTTTTGTTCATAAAGTCTTTGCCTATACCTATGTCTACCTTCTAGCTGATTTGGTGTTTTTGTTTTAATATTTAGATCTTTTATCTATTTCAATTTTAGTTTAGTGCATGATGAGAGATGAGTCTAGGTTTAGTGTTTGGCATGTGGAAAAGCCAGTTTTTCCAGCACCATTTATTAAAGAGGCTTTTTTTTCCAGTGAAAAATGTTTGGCCCCTTTGTCAAAGATAAGATGGCTGAGTGTGTTCCGAGTTCTTTCTGCATCTTCTAATCTGTTCCATTGATCCTCAGATCTGTTTTTTTTGGTTTTGCCAATGTTATGTTGTTTTTATAACTGTAGCTTTGTAGTACCATTTCAAGTCGGGTATTGTGGTGCCCCCTAACTTGCCTTTGTTGCCCAGAATTGCTTTTGCTCTTTTAGGTCTCCTCTGGTTCCAAATGAATATTAGGATTGTTTTCTCTTAACTCTGTGAGGTATGCTATTGGTATTTTGACCAGGATTGCATTAAATCTGTATAACTATTTTGAGAGTATGGTCATGTTTACTATATTGGGTCTTCCTACTCGAGAACAAGGGATATCTTTCCACTTCCCGATATCCTCTTTGATCTCCTTTTTCAGAGTACTGAAGTTTTCAATGTAAAAATCTTTTACTGTGTTAAATTGACTCCTAAGTGTTTCACTTTTTTGGACAATATTGTGAAAGGTGTGGGTTCACTAATTTTTCTTAGTGAGTTTGTTATTTGTGTCTAAGAATGATACTGATTTTTGAGTGTTGACTTTGTATCCAGCTATGCTACTGAATTTGGTTATTAAATCAGTCTTTTGGTAGTTTTCAGGGTCTCCTATATAAAGTATCATGTCATCAGCAAATGATGATAATTTAAGTTCTTCCTTTGCTATCCTTATTACTTTCATCTTCTTCTCTTGTCTAATTTCTCTGACTAATGTTTCCAGAACTGTATTGAACAGGAGTGGTGATAGTGGACATCCTTGTCTTGTCCCTGATTTTAGAGTGAAAGCTTTCAGTTTTTGACCATTTAGTATGATGCTGGCTGTTGCTTTGTCATAGGTGGCTTTTATCAGATTGAGATAAAAACCTTCTATTCAAATTTTCTGTAGGGTTTTTATCATGAATGCATGTTGAACTATTGTCAAATGCTTTTTCTGCATCTATTGAGATAATCATGTGGTTTTTGTAGACTTTGACTTTAGAATAAACCCTCTAATTATTCTGGGAGCCAAAGGCCATCATTTAGGGTTTATTGGGATCCTCATGCTTCAAAGACTTGCAGACAATGTGTCCTCATATCAGCATTAGAAGGGAACTACTAGCCCAGGCTTGGACGCATGCAGGCTTGCTCCTCAAGTCCAGGCCACAGAACCAGAGATACTCTTGCACTCAGCATACAGTAATTTCTATACCTTAGATGGAAAGATTGGTCAGCAGATGTGCTTTTAGCCACATCTTTATTTATGATTTTTACTTACAATGAGAATTCAACAAGATGTTGAAAGAAAGTTTTCTGTACCATTAAAACCATGTTTGAATGGCAGACAGGAGTGAGCATGAGGAAAAACCATCTTCTCTTCCACATGTTTGCTCCATTGCTTTAGAAAAGTTGCTTAAATCCCCTCGAACTGATTATCTTTAAAAATATTTTCAATCCAGTCAGGTTAATAAATATATTGTGATCCAGCATAGGATAAGTCATAGGGATGAATCATGAAAGTATAAAATCTGTGTAATTGAATGAACCAGTATTTTTGTTGGGTACAGTAGACTCACAAGGTCCACATTGCTCTAGGGCTCATGTTCTATGTCTGTGTCATTTTTATCTCCCCTCAGCCCTGCATCTGGCCTGTGCAGGGCAGCACTTGGCTTGTGCTGAGTTTCTCCTGCAGTCTGGCCTGAAGGATTCTGAAGACATAACAGGCACCCTGGCTCAGCAGCTAACAAAGAAAGCAGATGCCCTTTAGGGCTTCGACCATAGCCCTGTGACATAAGAATGTAAGGACACAATAAACTGTGTGATAATTCGTATCCTGCTTCTTACATCACAAACAAATTCAGTTTAATTATTCTGTATACAGCATTTCCATCTCCTCCTGCCTTCCCTCCTGCACACTCCTCGATGTCCCAGATGACCAGTGGGCTGGGTTCCTAGCTTCATGGCTGGCGTGATGTGAAATCCATACCACAGGCATAATCTTTCCATGGTCCATATTTCACTTTTTCCACCCTAAAAGTAGAATTAGATAATGTTTATGAAGTTAGTCTCTGAAATCCTTAGAGAAACATATAACATGCATGAATATAGTATATATCCTTTTATAAGTATATGAACCTGGGTTATAATATTGTACAGTAAAATGATGAGAGTATTAAAAATATACCATAAGTTGCTATTAACTTGAGCTGTAAAATATAATTGGTCTGTTTAATTTCTTCCTTCCTTCCTTCCTTCTTTCCTTCCTTCCTTCCTTCCTTCCTTTTACTTGTCCATTACAATGGTCCACTTTTGGTTTCATAGCCAGGAAGGAAATGCTTATTATCTGTTTCCACAGAAATTTACAAGGAATTAATGGAAACTTTTCTACATTCTAAGCACTGCTAATTAAGCTATAAAGTTTTAATCATTGGAGTTTTTTGTTGTTATTTTAATAGACAAGTTTTATATTGGCCCCATTTTGGTAATAAATACACTTAGAAAATGCAACTAAGATGTTTCCAAAGCTTTTCCATTATCCTGAGTTGAAGAACAAGGTTTTGTTCTTATATCCCACAGGTTAATGTTTCCTCTCCCCTCCCATTTACCTAGCAAAACCTGATTATTGAGGAATGAAACACTCACATTATCATTTTTTTTTGAGATGGGGTCTCACTCTGTAATTCAGGCTGGCCTTGTACTCACAGTGATCTTCCTGCCTCACCCTCCTGAATAGTGAGGTTATAGATATTCACCATTATGCCTGGCAACTCAAAAATACTGTAGTGGGGTTTTTTTGGTTTTTTTGTTTTTTGGTACCAGAGATTGAACTCAGGACCTTGCACCTGCAAGGCAGGAGCAGTGCCATTGAGTGAAATCCCCAGCCCAGTACTGTAGTCTTTTAAACAGATTAAGGGTAATATGAATGCTCAGGCATTGGGATTCTTTTACTGGGGGGTTTTTTCCCCCCTTTTTCTCTTCTGAATCAATTTCTGTATTGGAAAGTATAATTATTACTCCAGATTGGTCTTTTGTAAAATGGTACACGTCAGTCATAAGCAAGATTGAATCCTCTTGTTCAGTAAAATCCAGCTACTTTTCATTGCACACCCACCCTTTTTTTCAGCATTGTGCTTGCCTAGGTAAATAGCAAGAATTTCCAGTTCCTCTTACTTATTCCCAAATGGTTTTGGCAGATTCCTGTCCTTAACCACAAATAAATTTGCTAGTAGAAACAATCTTGTTTTGTGACCTTTAAATCCCAGGTTCTCTGCATCTGTTGTGCTGATTCAAGATGCCATTATGATGCCCTGCTGCTTAAGAGAAACTTTCGCATCAGTGCCTCTTCTGTCTTGTTGTGTGGACATTCACTGGCCTTCCTTTCCCTCAGCACATACGTGAAGCAGCTTCTTATTTGCAGCTTCTGCATGCACAATCAATTGCCACGTGACACTTAGCTTTTGCCCTAGCAAACCAGTAATTGCTAACGTCATGTTACAATTTTGTTTCCCCATAATAGATTTCATATGTTTTTCTGACATAAACCTTAACTACTAGAGGCTACTCCTCAAACTACTCAGCAGCCAGAGATAGTAGTGATTATAATAACATTAATTGTAGCAAACAGAACAGTAGTAACATAATAACAATATATTTTTATAATTAATGAAAACATCAGTGATAATAATAACTAATATTCTGTCACCAACTAATTACAGTTACTCACTTTAGGTCATTACCTAAAAATTACTTTCTTAGTGAAGTTTCACTACCTAAAATTTCATTTCTTTCTTCAGCATTTGATATCTTCTTTCTCTAGTTTTTCTCCTTAGCATTTACCATAAACAAATATGCCACAGCACCCATGATCATAGCAGCACAATTTGTAATAGCTAAAACTTGGAAGCAGCCCAATTGCCCATCACCTGGAGACTGAAGAAAATGTGGTTTTTTAATAAAATGGAATACTCTTCAGCCATAAAAAATGAGAAATTAGAGACATTTGTAGCTAAATGGATGCATATTCAGGTGATAGTCTTAAAACGTGTAAACACCGAATAGTTTCTCTAGTGTGAAAAACAAAGTGTAAATAAGGACTAAAAGGTATAATAGATAATGTGAAATAGGAAGAAAAGGGGCAAAGGGGAAGGGGAAGTAGGAGGGGTAGGGAAAAGGAAAGAAGGGAATGAAATTAATATGGGAAAATGGAAACAAAGTCTTTGTAAATAGGGAGGGATGGAGGGGTTGAAGGGAGGGCAGGGGAATGGGGGAAAAATAAGAACCAAGATGGATTATGTAAAGGTACAGATTTCCAATGATGAATGCTATTATACTGTATACCTAAAATATACCAATAAAATGAAATTTTTTTTAAAACTATAAAATGTATAAACACTTCTCAAAAAGTACAAAATGGCCAATAAGTACATGAAAAATGTTCAGCATCGTTGGCAATTAAAGAAATGCAAATTAAAAAAACAGGTCTGATCTTGCCGCAGTAAGGTTGGCTGTCATCAAGAACTCAAAAAACAACAAATGCTGTTGAGGTTGTGGGAGAAAGAAATCCTTCTACAGTGTATTGTTGGTGAAAATGTAAACCAGTAAAACCACTTGGGAAATCAGTATGGAGATTCTACAAAAAACTAAAGATAGAAAGTCCATTTAACCTAGTTATACCTCTTCTAGGTATCTTCCTGAAAGAGTGAAAGCAATCACATTACAGTGCTATATGCATACCCATGTTTATAGCAATACAATTCACAATACCTAAAGTATAGAAGCCTATATATCCATTAACAGATGCATGGATAAAGAAAATGTGGCATATATACACAGTGCAGTATTATTCAATCATAAAAAAATTTGAGTTATTTGTGCGAAAGTGGATGGATCTTGGAACCATAATACTAAGAGATAAATCAGATACAAACGGATAAATATCGAATGGTTTCCCTTACATAAGAAACAATATAAATAATTTGAAGAACAAAATAAATGATTGTAGGAAACAGGGATGTAGACTTTGTGAAGATGTGAAGGGGCTCTGGGAAGGGAGGAGATGGGAGAGTGAGGGGAGGAGTAAAAATGATCTAGATGTGATCTGTATATGTACCAATTCCCCAAGATGAATATGATTATATATTGCAAAGATACACCAGTGGTAAAAATACAGGAAAAAGAAAAAAAACAAACCTAAGGATTTGTAAAACTCTGCATGTAATAAAGGCAGCATTTCAAAAAAGAAAAAAGACAAAAAAAAAAGAGACAGAAGAGAAGGAAGACAGTTGGTCTAAATTCAGCTTGTAGGTAGTACACTCTGAAACTTGTTCCATTCCAAGCTTTTGGAAAGAGTAAATAGTACTCTGTCTTCTCTTCTTTCCCATCCTGTGAACTCTGAGACCAGAGCCCTGCATTCCTTATAAGCTACCCAGAGTTTGGGAGGGTAGGTTCTGCCAGCTCCCCAGAGCCATCTGCTAAACAGCCAGGAATTGTGAAAGTTGAAACCAATGGCAGAATTTTGGATTTGTTCTTTTCTTCATTTTTTTTTACTTTCAGAGAGTCAGTTTGCCAGCACCCCATTAGTCATCCTGCTGCTCTCTTGAGTCCAGGAAGCAGCTGTGCACCTCAAACCTTGTCACCCTCCCAGAGAGCCTGTATCTAGGATGTAGCTGACCTGTCATGAACCTGCCACTGCAGAATGAGCACCACCTCCACCAGCATTTTGCTTTTTATTTTATTTTATTTTTTTTTCTTGTTTTAATATATTTATTTATTGGTACATTTTAGGTATAAAATACATTTACATTTATCATTGGGTGTTTGTACCAGAATATGTTGTATCTTAGTTTCTATTTTTTTCTCCCATTACCTGTGCACCCTTCCCATTTACACAGAGTTTGATTCCATTTTTTTTTCCTCATAATTTTTTTCTTTCCCTTCCCTTTCCCCTTTCCCTTCCACCATCCTCAAACCCTTGGACCTTTTCTTATTTCAAATCATCAATTATTCATTTTAATCATTTTCATCCTTATGTACACTTTCAATTTCTCACACTAGAGAAACTATTTGGTATTTACATGTGTGTCCTATTTATTTCATTGAAGACTATGGCCTCAATATGCATCCATTTAGCTATAAATGTCTCTAGTTTCTCATTCTTTATGGCTGAGCAGTACTCCATTTTATAAAAAAAAAACCACATCTTCTTTATCCAGTTTCCAGTTGATGGGCACTTGGGCTGTTTCCAAGCTTTAGCTATTACAAACTGTGC